CAGTGCGTCACTTCTAGCGCGGAATGGCCCCTCCTCCCTTTCCTACCTCCATGGCAACCACTCGAAGGCCAGAAGTGTGGTTGTGTCGTGACTAATGTCAATCACTATTTTCATTCCTATAAGCGAACTGCAAAGCTCTAAAGAAGTGGCGCCACCTGGTGACCTTCAATGAGTTGAAAATAAATAAATAATTATTTTAATACCAGACTCTCACGCACTGTGTCGGACTCATCACCTAACTGCATTATGTACTTTCCTCAACTTGCTGTTGCTTACTACACAGTAATTCAAGGTTCCTTTGCTTTACGAGATCATGTGCCCAGCGCTCTCAGACAGAAGCCACACCCTCCATATCCAAATGCCCACTTCCCTATCCAGTCGAATTTAACTCCAGTGCCAACCAGATAAACTTTTCACGATGTAGTCACTTTTTCAGAAGCGAAATGCCCTCCTTATTCTTTTTCTCATTCTCTTAGGGGACTGCACTAGGAATCTTGAATCTGTCAGGCCTCTTCATGGAACTGCAGACAGCTGCTACAAATTAACAGCTAAATGCCTGTTTTTTGATCCAACTATCCGTCAATCAGTGTATTACGATTAGAGTGGCATACAGAAATCTCAGCTAGTCAGTAAAAAAGCAGGTTTCACGGCACACCTTTTGTTTCCTATTATATTCTCATTTCCTAGATTTTGCGAAAGAAAATTGTTTGTTGACTGGAGATCCGGATATCATTCTGGATACTGGACGCCCGAATTTCAGATTTTGCATTGTACAACTTTCCTCCCCTCAGGGGTTGATTCAGAAGAATTCCTGGGAAGTACTGCTAGGATCAGTAATTAGGCAGGCTCAACCACGGGGGTATGTAATCAGGCTTCACAGGACTAGAGCCCCTGTTCATTCCGAGATTGGTTTGGTTTGGCATGGACAGTATTGGTACTGTCGTGTACGTTACTTCAGCTGTTGTGGAGCTAGATTGGAGATCCCCGACCAAATCCTTGGAGATTTGATTCCATTCAGTTCTCGTGATGGGACTGACAGAGTACCCTATTGAAGTATATTACCGATGGAATGGTGCCCGGAGGTAATATGACTAGCGTAATTTTTCTGACTTTTATTTCTTTGCCCAATGCTTTGTATAAAGCCGGGCAAGGATTAAGGGGGTTGCACCCGCTTGGAAGATGACCAATGAACCACAGATATACAACTCCGAGAGATATTTGCTAGTCAGATCTAGGACGGGGTTTATGTTCGTCTAGAGTTCTGTATAATTTTCCTTTGGCTTTTGAAAAAGGTAAGATCACAAAAGTGTTCCATGGAATTGAGTGTTTATGAAGAAAATTGTCGTTTTTCACTAATATGGCAACATAAAAACAGCTGCGAAGGACATTTTGCAAAAAAATGGCTATGATAGAAGATTTACAACAGTGGTATATTTTCATATTAATTGACTGAAACATGAAATTTATACATGCAATTTAATATTATGTATTAACTGCATAATATTAAATTGCATGTGTCGTTTTGTTAGCATATAGCAATACTTTGGATGTAATTACAGTCAGGTCAACAACATATGAAACAGAAGTATAAAAGATAAACTGTAAAATTAGATCAAATCTAAACTTAGTTTTACCATTATGGTTCTCATTAGCGATATTCAATTCTATTTCTTTTGTATTAATGAATATTTCTGGCAAATCCATGAAAAATATTTCTGTTCTTTGAAGATGACTACTTTGTATCAGACTCCCTTAAAATACATCCATCAAACGTTGAACTTTGCCTCATAAAAAAGATCATGGGATCGTGTAATGAGTAGTCATGAGAAATGTAACATTGGATTGTGAATAATCACTTCACTGGCAATTACTGTAAAGAAAATTTCTCAATATAATTTGCAAAATCACATCAAAACATGTTAGCCAAGAAGAATAGCAAATTTCCTTTATGATACCATTTCCTTTGCATTCTATTTTAATTTTGGGTTCTAAAGTGAACACTCGACTACTCACCAGCTCTACTAGGTTATGCAAATGATTAGCAAAGGACCTCAGCATAAGAAGGTCACTGGTGGCTTATTTCTAGACATAGCAAAAGGCTTTCAACTCTGTATGGCTAGATGCCCTCATTTACAAGTTACACACTCTTCGGTTTCCCAGAGTATATCACTAGCATAATTAAATCCTACCTAGACAGTAGACATTTTGCCATTTGCGTTACAGGAACACTCTCTACTCTCAGTGCCATCCAGGCTGGGGTACCCCAGGAATCCCTTCTTGGTCCCACACCCTTTAATATATACATGAATGACATCCCCACTATACCTAACACAACACTTGCAATGTATGCTGATGACACAGCGATCTTCACTCAAGTGCATTTGTTAGTCCAGTTATACAATGATTACAAGATTACATACACACACTTGAGACTTGGCTTAACAAGTGGAAAATCAAGGTGAATGTTGAACACTAAGAAGAACAAGTTCAACAAGAATCTGCAACTTTACAAAGTATCAATACCCTGGGTCACGGAAATCCTTTATCTTTGGGTGATCCTCAGTAAAACACTCTCATGATCTCCACACATAATTTCTATTACTATCCATCACATCTAAAGTTTCGAATGAGTAAAAATACACTATTTCCTCTTAATAGCTCAAAACAGTATTCTTTCTATAGACAACAAGTTACTCCATTGGTGAACTGGGTTTTCTAGAGGCATTTCACATTCAAAAAAATCTTTCTGTTCTAGTTAACGAACCCTAATTCCAATCCATCTTTGCCTTCAGCCTTTAAAGAAATTATGTTTTAGTTCTGGTTTCATCAACAGATGGCACCAGTAGCTTATCTCCTGTCCAAGCTTTCTTATCTTATCTAATCCTTATATCTTACCTGTTCATTTGTGCTTGTGCAGCTGAGGATGATGGTTCAGTAAAACCATCGAAACTAGTTCTGCGAAAATTTGAAAATATAACGCTTATTTTTGTTGTTCGACTTCTAAATTAATAACAAGTTATTCATTTATAAGTCCATGCTACAAACCATATTATGTTATGCCTGCTTGAAATGGGCTTATTCATGTAAATCTCTTCGAAAACAACAGTTCGAGTTACAAGCTGCCCAAAACGGTTTTTTGAAGCAAATCTCTGAAACTCCATATCATGTGAGAAACCACAAGTTATACCAAAAACTATGCATCGAGCTGTTAAGAACTTTTTATTGCTGTATTGCTCGAAAGTTTTATAGTGACCAAAAATTAATTAAGAAACCATATGAGTATATGAGTACAATGTTAATGATTCCTGTTATAGTATAGTAAAGGACCAATGGCCATTTTTAGTAATCAAACTGATTAGTGAACGTGTACTGTATATATGTATCTTTATGTGCAACATGTGCAAGTGTTTTTCTCTTATCTTCAACTCTCATCTAAGTAATTACTGTACGATATATTGTAATGTATACTTTTCACTTTAGCCCATCTTGGGTCTTGCAATTGTTTATTTGTTTGTTTATGTTTACTGTGATTTTAACAGGTGTTATCACCAGCACAATCGATATCTAGCTTCTCCAGTTGGCATTTCTCAAATCTTTATACGTTCTAACTATTCTAATCCATAATCTAAATAACTGATAATTACTTTTATCTCAACATACTAAAAAAAAAAAAAAAAAAAAAAAAACTTATGTAAATATGTACATATATCCTCTATTTCCCATTCAGTTATTTCCTGTTCTAGTAATTCGAAACAACATATTTATTCGATGTGGACACCACATGATTTTCTTGTATGGCCTATCACATTATACACATTTTCTGCTGCATTTCATTTAAACTTATTTCCTTGAATGTCATTAAAGATATATTTCTCATTCAATTAATTCAGTTCTCACTTCGCGGCAAGACAAAAGTACACAAAAACTCAAAACATCTTCAATAAAAATTGTCCAATACAGAAAAATATAAAATACGAAATATAGTTAAAACAGTTAAAAATCAATTTTTACAATTAAAATTAAGAGTTTCTACGCAAAAAGAAGCGTTTCAGCCAGCGGGTAAGAAAGCAGATTTTTTGGTGCACGAAATTAAAACTTTACTTTTGGTCCCACTAGGCGAAAAGACACTGAAGGTGCAAAAATTTACTTAATTCACTATTCTACTAAAGAGTTTCAGATGTAAACAAATGTGGCTACTTTACATTTAGTAGCACTTAAGCAATTTTTAAATTGTTTAAGTGCTACTAAGCCTAACGTATTGCTGAAATGTAATCTAATTGCTGATAATTCTACAATTATTACAAGCAGGCATAAAAATCTTAATCAGAACATAAGAACAACATAATTCAATGACTCTTAAAGCAAAAAATACACAATTTTCCAAAATACAGGGGAAAAAAAAAAACTGAGATCACCAAGCCAGGTAACAGAGTGAATATATATATATATATAATTTTGATGCGACCAATTGCAACCAAAAAGAGAGGTGCACAACTTCATGTTATAGCAGTCCCATGTACGAAATTTCAACATTCTGAGGCTACTTATTTTTGAGTTATGTGAGACACATACATATGTAATATGTAGGTAGAGACACCATGAAAAAATCTCTTCCGAACCAATTTTAAATTCCTTTTATAATCAGTTGGGGAAAAAGAGTCCTTTATTATATTAGTATGTACAGATGTCATGCAAAAACATGGCTCAAATGGATTCAAGAGCGCTCAAAATGGATATTTTAGTTAAAATTTGAAACACAAAATTTGTCACGATTACAATACTTCCTGTACTTCGTACAAGGAAATAAAAGTAAAAATCCATTTCATTTATAAATTTTGCATTATGAAACGACAATACAATATTTTTATGACAAATTTTATAAACAAGCCCTGATTTTTATCTAAGCATCATTAATATTAATATTTCAATACATTTAGTAATCTACTACTTTTTAAAATGCATAATAAAAAACACACATCACAGAAAAAATAAAGACGAAATTGAATTCAAATGTTTTTAATTTATGCATGATCAGAAAGCTTTGTCCAACAAAAAATGAATGATGAAATGGTTTCACACAGAAACATGTCTTAAATACGAGATAACTGATGTAAAAGACTTGATGGCAACATTGCTTCTACTTTTTCCAGTAAGTAACCCAGCGGAAGGGATAACCAACTGATTGCCTACAAATGGAAAGGCAACTAAGTATAATTCAATTAAAAATTCATCATCATTCATAAAAAATTATCATACATAGAAATTTTTATTAAACAACCTAATTTATTTTTAAATCTGTCATACTTAAAAAAAGAGAAATATTGCTTAAACTGTGAATTAATATTGTTTATTAGCTCTCATGTATTTTTTACGAAGAACACTTACAAAACCCACAGAAGACAAACATCTTAAAAATTCAGAGCTCCATTAACATCTTATAACTTAGATAAAATATTTATCAAAATTGATATACGAGTTGCTTCCTAGCATTTTGTATAAAAAATTATTTCAAAAAAGTACAATTAATTTAGCAGTACTACTTACATTAATGCTCTGCTCCCTACCGGGTAACTACATTAGAAAACAAAAGTTTAAAAGGGTAAAACATTACAATTTTCAAGTATGACAAATAAAATTTATTTAAAAAATATGTACATTGCAAAAAATGTTAAACAATGAGAGCAAAAAATAAAATACAAAAAAAAGGGGAATTACTTTCTACAGCTTGCATAGCAAATAATGCAGACACTAAATTTGAAATTTATTCAGTTAAACATGCCAAAGCTAGCTGAGTTGAGTGACTCTTTTTTTGAAAGAAATGAATTAGAAATTTGAACTGTTATGAAAAAATAAAATGATAATAATAATAATTTCATTTACATGGGCTATTGCAGGTATTGAAAAAAGTAACATGCCCCTTTTTTGGTCACAGTAAAATAGAATAGGAACAAAATTTATACAGACGATGAGGCTAATAAACAGAATTTATTATACAGGATTTCTAAAAAGGTGGAACAGGTTTTATTTCCTTATGTACTGATTTAAGACAAGTACCTCTCGCAAAATAAACTAGAGATTACTTATTTTTTTTATTTATATTAATAATTTTTTTAAAACAGTTTCATTGCTGTGGTTGGAAATTCAGATAATTTTCTATACGACTTCCACAGAGTTAAAAATTAGTTATTAAAGCCATAATATCATTATGTTTTAATAATTTATACACAAAATGTTAAAAAGGTTTACCTAGAATGGTTACAAAGATAAGTAAAATTAATATTTTCATGGTAAGAATAAGTAAGAATTTAATACCAAGCATGGTAAAGCTATGATACATGATGTCACAATCATTTCTGCAGTCATAAGATGAATAAGTTACTTATTTTTTAATTATTTTTCTTGGCTCTTCTTTTTTTTCCTTTTACTTTACTTTATTTTTTAATTTTTATTTTAATTAATTAATAAAGATATTTTGTTTTTGTTTTTATTTGTAAATTTTTTCCATATTTTCCATATCTTGTAGTTCTTAAAGAATTTTCAGCTGAAATTTATGGCTTTACACAATATGGAACCATTAATTGACAAAATGACCAACTGCTGTAGCTGTTCTTTAAATTACCCAATATTATAAAAGCTGTTTTTCTTTGAAAGTATCTGGTAGAAGTGTATCTACTTTTGAACCTTAAAGGTGACACATTGACTAAATCTGAGCTATAATAAAAATGAGGCAGCACATCTCAACTACCTAATACGACACACATTATCTTTTATATGGATTGAAAATGTAGGCCAAATTTGGAAGCTTCAGATATCTTCTTGCTTTAAAGATGCTTGCTGTCTGAGATAGAGGTGCCTCCCACTTATTCACTCTCATAGGCATCACAACAGTCAAGACCAAGCTCCCACTATGACAGAATATCCAAAGTAATTTACTGTCAGCAAGAATCACCATGCAAAAAATCTAGCATTCCAGCTCATAGTCAGGGCCGAATTTACATATAAGCTATACAAGCTATAGTTTACAGTTCCCACTTTCTTGGGGGCCCCAAAAAATTAAAATATAGTCTAAATAGTATTAAAATATATTATAAAGGGCCCCATATCTCAAATAGCTTAGGGCCTTATCAAGTCTAAATCTGGCTCTGCTCATTGTTGAATGTTCTGTTGTTCCATAAAATTCTCCATCTTATTCTGAGAAACTTAGATCAATATTTAAAGAAGTAAAATTTCTATTATTTTTTTTAAATGCACACATTAGTTTTGAATGATTTACATAGCTAAATGATTTTGATAAAGTGTAAATGCCCTCATAAAATGAATTTCAGAGATCAAAGAGGAAAAGGAATATTTTTAAATTAATAGCATGTATTATATAAAAATTAATTATTTGGTTTTAACAAGTTATCTTTTTCTTGACAGCAAGATCAAAATGCAGCTTATATAACAGGAAAGTAATAATAATTAATTATCAAAAATAAATTATAAAAGCAAGTTTATATACATGTAATTAATATTATATATATTATATATATATATATATATGTATATATACATGTATATAAAACTTGCTTTTATTCATATAATAAAATATTTATAACTTGCTTTATTTAATTAATATATATATAGAGAAGAGAGAGTCAAAAAATTTTAGCATTAGCATTTCTACAAAATTACTTTCTAAAACAAAAATTTTCCCCTTGACAAAGATATTGGCTTCTATTGAATCTAACTGCTACAATAGCAAACACAACATCAGCATTCAAAATAAAAGTCTCTGATACTAATAATAGCATTAGAGGAAATGAAAATGCAATTTTTTATAAATGGGACTATTCTTTTATGCAGTTACTTTTATATTCATATATCTTTTATTTATTACTATTATTAATCTTGTTTTAAAAATTTCTCATAAATGAAAGGTTCTTATTTCACATCTTAACTGCAAAGATTTAGGTATTCTTGCAGTTCAATTTTGCTTATTTAAATTTTGATGTCTTTTTAAATATCTCATCATTCTTGAACTCATGTACTGTTAGATAAAATTCTAAAATTTACGACAATTTTCTCAGCTTCATTATTGTACATTTCAACCTAATGGTGAAGAAGGAACTCATTATAGTCCTATCATCAAAATTACAATAAACAAAAACAAAGCTACTATACTTCTGATGGGATTCTTCCTTCTAGAATCCATTTTGTTTCAGATAATTATGAGTATAAATACTGATGCTCATCCGTTTTTCTAAAAATTAGTGAATAAAAATTTATTATCTAGAAGTTCCAAAATGCTATGACAAAGATTTGCAAATTAAATTCCATGAAAATAAAAAATTTATCTCACCATATGTAAATGTTTATCACATTTGTAATTTCATGATTCTGCTTTAACATATACCATATTTTACCAGATAAATCTAATGTCATACAGCTAAATAATATAACCTTTTATTCATAAATAATGCTATTTTAGGTCAAATGCATGTCCTGTATATTACTGAGGAGATGACACGGATTTCACCTATATATGAAGGAGTCATACTTAGGTGACATAAGGTTGTACTACATATGATTAACTGATCACGTTGCCCATGTAAAATTGAGTCCTATGACCCAACCTTAAGCAGCTGTGTGATAAATATTTATATGATATAAAATATTTACATATTTATGAATAATTTATACTGTCACCTTAAAATTGACAGAAAATTCCCCCTTGTTCATAAAATATTACCATTTATTTTTAATACCAGATTACCGAATCTAAAACATGAAAACAAGCACAAAAGAGTTTTTAAATATTTAACAAATCTTTATCCAAAAAAGAGTTTTCTAACAAATTTTGTTTTTGTAACTGGAAGATTCAAAAGCTAAATCAGCTCATCAAGGGTAACTTTTCATTCAATGCCCATGAAAACAACTTATTTCATATTACACACAGAGGAGCAGTCTAATATAAATCTGTATTTATTATTTAATTTAATTTAATTTTATAAACAAATTATGGCCACATTTTAGCAACAGCTGCTAATAATGTGGTAAATACATTACCACAGCCGATGAGATGCCTGAACATAAACTAAGATAGGTAAGATTCTAGATATAGTAAATAAATTGTGAACTGAAGGCACCGAATAAATTGCTTGTGTGTAACAGTAATCATCTGTTTCTTAACACAGCTGAAATGAGCAAGGCCACTAAACAAAAAACATACCTGTAAATTTTTTTAAATTTTGATTTTCTGAGTATATAATTATATTTCTCTGTTTTACATTTAATTAAAATTCATAATTTTTCAGGAATTTTCTCAAAGAATCACTTTTATAAAGTATACTTTAATTTCGATTAGTTATTTATCACTAAGAGCTAGCCACTGATTTCAGTTAGGATATTTGAGCTTTAAGTAGTTCAAAAAACAGTAAATGCTAGATGATAAATCTTCAAATTTATGCTTTTCAAATTAATTCTGTAAATTATTCTTTTCAAATTAAATAAGTTTTTTTTTGGGGGGGGGAGAAGATGAATGACAAATGAAATCATGAATAGAAGCTTTAAAGGTTAAAGTCATGTTGCATAATTTGATTATACATAATTAATCTAAATAAAACCTATTATACACTGCAAGCTATTAAAACTGCTACATCGTAAATGAAAGAAGATAGCAGATTCACATTTATTTTACAAAGAAATATTCAAAATTGGGACATTTTGAGGTGCAAAATATGCAGAAATCAATAGCCTTAGCATCTATCTCTGGCAAACAATAGCAGAATAATATATCAGGGCATGAAGTTAAATAAACTTTGGATGGCAGTTATGGGTCCCTGCAGCTTCAATTCTATGCCAAAGTTTATCTATCATATATAGGCTGGCAGATGTCATACCAGTCTCTCTGCAATCTCTGATCAGACATTTTCAGTTACAAATGATTGAAGAGTATACTTGTTAATGTAAGAATCAAACATTCCACATATTGATTAAGGAAATACAAAATACCATGGGCAACACACAGTTTCCCACTGTTTGAATGAAAGATGAAGTGACAGAGACCCCACAGATATGGTATAGCCACAGGAACTGAAATATCAATTATGATAGTTGGCCAAAATAGCAGTAGAGGGGAATAGGATGTGCAGTCAATGGCTTTCTTATCATAAATCTAAATGCTGAACTGGTATGACAATGAAGAATGCAAGTTTAAAACTTTCAATCCTCTTGGTACTGCTGCATACAGATATAGCCATCATGCTTTATACAAAAGCAGGATTCATCAAAAAAGACATTATGCCTCTCATGCATCTATATTCATCACTGAATATACTATTTAAAGTGTTAATTTCTGCCTACAGATGCAAGTTATGGCATAGAAACGATAACCTTGCTAACAATCTGTGGCACTGCATTTGATGCTGTACAACACATCCTACGTCTTGATCTACAGTATATGATGTGTCTATGCAGTCTCTAAAAACAATGTGGATAAGATGTGAGCCTTTTTGGCATTGGTGAATGAACACTGTTAAGATTTTGCACATTTCTCTGTAAGGCTGCTCGGGGCCCATTGACTGCAAATTTTCATAACAGTCACTGAATCCTGACTGATGCAAGCAGCAATATGGTACAGCCAATAATCTGCAATCCTATTAGGCTACAATTTTTCTATTAATTCTGGGATCTGCTGGTATGAGAGCCTTCTTACATGAGACTTAACACAACTTCCAATATAAAAAATAAATAGATGCCAATTCTGAATGAAAACCTGGCATTTCATTTACCTTTTCATACGGTTTGAAGGTGTTATTACTTTCATCTATAATGTGCACATTCAATGAAATGCTGACTAATTGCATATCCCAACACATGTTACATTTCGTAAAAATTTCAGGTTTCTTGTATGTGTGCTTCAGAATGTAGCAATTTTGATGGTCAGCAGTGTAATGCAAAGTTTGCAATATTGACTGGTTAAAAATCTTCAATATTACTTAAATCTAGTTATATAGAATTTTAAAAACACATATTGTCAAAATAGATACTATTTACTTTTCTAAATATTATTTTCATATGCACTCACATTCTTTGCAAAAGTCCCCATTGGCTCTGGATACTGATGCGTGAGCAGTGCCAATAAGGCTGTAAAAGAGCACAACCCTGCAGTGAAAAGGATAAAAAATGGCAGTTCCTTTTTTGGATATACTGAGACCTCATGAAATGCTGAAAATGGAAAATAAACATATCAGACAAAAGTAAAACATTAAATACATGCTGTGCATTATGAAATTTTTTTTTAAATAAGAGATAAATGAAAAATTATTTATTCTTACAAGGTAAAAGTTCCCTATCTGTAGTTTCTGTACAAGTTGGATAGGGATAAAAAAGATGTCCTTTTTCTAAGGGATATGGAATCATTCTAAATGCTATAATGGAATAAAAAAGAGTAAATGATTATTAAAAAAACATATGTGAAAAATATTAGTTTAAAACTAGTATCTCACTCACTCTCTATTATATATTTCAGGTAGATAAGCTGCAGCTTACACATGTTTAAAAGTTTAAAATTTAGATCTGCACTGTATCTGATGAAATTTTATTTTTCCTCTGTCTTTAGAATTTTGCTAGTGCAAACTGCAAGTTATGCAGCATAAGCGAACAGTTAATATACAATTTTTTGAAACATTTTAGCCTGATATGAGCACTCATGTTGCACTAAGGCTAGGCACTGCACCAAGTTTGAACTCGTGTGAAACTTGCCCAACTATTGTAAGGTGTGCTACATGTAAAGACATGGTAATTCCTGTACTTTCTAAAAAATAAAAGTTCTTGTGGCTACAAGAACTTTTATTTTTTAAGTTTTGTGTTCATTCTCACATGTGTCTCACTGCTTGCTTTACTGTTTGCGCTTGTTGAATTTTAAAAATTATTCTTTTTACCACGGCTCCTGCTCATAGAAAAAGTTGCTTTTAACACATACATATAGCTGCTTTAACACATACATATAGCTGCTTTAACACATACATATAGTTGCTTTTAAGCTTTTGGCAGTAAAGAAAGTGACAGAAACTGGGCTGTGGCTACATAATTTCAAGCTGACGAAAGATGCATCTGGTGGCAGAAGTCTGAACACGAAGAATTAGAGAAAATGCCTATGAATAAAAGATCTTATTGGACTGACGTCAAAACCTGGCCTGTTTTGTAATTACAGAAATGAACACATGTAATAATGGACAATGAAGAAATGGACACAGCAGAGAGAAAAGAGATTATCAGTGTATCAGTAAATCCGAAACAATAAAACTTGGCATAGATGTCTCAGTGATACCAGGTGAGCTTACAAAAATTTTACTGCCATTGGATCTCACCATCAATAAAATTTTCAAGAACAAACCACAAAAGCAGTGAGAGGAATGAATTTGAAGCAGACTGCATTTCTTCACGGAAAAGCTTTATATGAGGTGTGTATGCGTGTGATTATGGCAAAGCCTCGAGGGCTATCTGCCTAAGGAGAGGGATGCCTTCATGGAGAACTTTTTTAGGGAAACTGGTATGCATACATGTTACACATAGGGAAAACTTCATATGAGGAGGTTGCCTGGTGGGTCGATAAAGCATGGCAATCAGTCCGAGCTGATAGAATCATATCAGCTTTCATTAAACTGGTAATCGTTGAAAAAGATGATGAAAATGCAGATAGCGACATTGAAAAAAGGGGGTTAGAAAAGAGTGATGATAGTCATTTGTAAAGTTTATTTAATTCTGACATTTGATGAGTTGGATTTTGAATATTTGGTATAAATAAGCAGCTCATTTTAATTATAAAATTTTGTTTGATTATCTAACTTACATATATTCTTTTTCATAACATGGTAATTTATGATGGTAAACAAAAATTTATTGAAGGCGCAAAAATAATGTCTGTAAGAAACCAGCAGAATTCATTTTTGGCAAGTTCAAGGTAAGGAGCTTATTCATTTTTTATTTATTTATATATTACTGTAGTTATTTTGTAGATGTTATAAAATGTTATCAATGATGATTACATCAATATGGAATGAAACTACTGAATAAATTAATATTAAGTGCCATGTTTTAGAATTCGTTGCTGCAGCATATACAGCAGTGTGGCTTACCCAATGAATTTTCATTTAGTCAATTATGATGAGTCCAGCATATCTGCTAGAGCGGCTAATCTACCCAAAATGATGGTATACATATACAGATATATATGTTATATTTATGTATATACATTTATAATATGTTATAAACAATTTTTTTTTCTAAATATAAGACATACGACGTTGAAAATGTTAATGCAATGTTTTCTTAGTTTAATCCAACATACACATCAAACTAACAATCAGTTCACAATACGATAAATTATAAATAATTTCACATGTTGAATTTAAAGTGAAATCATAATCTACAGGTGTTTGATTCTTTGCACTTTTGCATGTTAAATCTCAATTTTTTTTTTTTAAATCATTTCATGTTTTTTTTTTTTTTTTTTATTTCTGTTTCATCTGCAGTTCTATTCATTTTTATTCCTAAATAAAATCTATTTTCTAAGATCTTTTACCTTAAATTCTTTCTTTAGTACACTAACTAGTTCATTAAACAGCATTTTCTTTCTAATAACAAGAATATCATCACCATAAACAATAACATATTCCTTAGTACACATAAAAAATCCTTCATTAATTTTTAAAAATTTTACTCTTTCATAAATTATAAAATCTGTCATTCCAACAGTATGATGACTTCTTAAGGCCATAGAAAGATTTTTTTTTTTTAACTTTATAAAAAAAAATATTAATTTTTATTTCTGTTCCATCTGCAGATATCTTAAGATATCTCTGCTGTTTAATATAACTGCATTAAGACATTTAATGTTCACAATCTTTAAGGCTCCATTTAGAAATGCTACAGATACAAGTTCATTTGCAATGATAAAGAAATCACCATTCTTATTGTAAATAATATTGCTACAGGTGCATATACTTCAGTACCTACCACTTCTTGATATCCTTCAGCTACCAAGTGAGCTTTTTTAGTACCATTACTTTGATTTTGAAAAACTCATTTTATGTCAGCAGCCTTAGCACCTTCATGTAAATTATGCTCCTTCCCAAGTTTCTAATTTTAAAGTGACAGTATTTCTTCATCAATATATTCTTTTTACTTAAAATCCTTTACAATATCTTGATTTTTTTTTTTTTTTTTTTTTTTTTTTTTAATGTTCTTCACATACAACAGACAATATTCAACCTAAAGTTTATTTAAATATGCAGGCTTTATCACATTTCTTTCACTCCTTGTTATCATAAGAATAAATCTTTTACCATCTTGGGGCACATATCCCCATTACTTTCAATTATTTTTGTATCTCATTCTCTGATTTTGTTACATAAATTTAGTGCAATAAATTTTTCAAAAATGTAAGTCCCACTGCAAATGACATCATGACTTAAATTTTCAGATTTTCATTTAATGATTCTGTAACAAAAGCATACATGACAAATAACCCCACAGAAGATAAAAGCTTACATGTATAAAAACAAGGTGTGATTTTTATGAATACAGAATGTATTTATGATTGTAATTATAATAAATGTAGTAGCTACATCCGGTTTTTGATGACTCAAAAAATGTTTCTTATATATTTTATCGCCACTTGATTTTATTAGATCGAAAACAAACTTTTCTGCTTTCTGATTAAGAGGCTAGCTATCATAGCTTCACAATAAGTCTAAATATTGTTATTTGTTAATTTATTCATTTTGTGTTGCATGTGTGTATATATTCGGGGGACAAAAAATATCATTTTCAAACCACTTAAAAGCTATTTTTAATATTATATGGCTAAGAATACATATGTTTCAACATTAAGATGTGTGTGGGGGGAGATATTATCTAATCAAAGAACAGAATAAATTATTTGTATAGTTATAATTTTTTTAAACTTATTTTACTACAATGTAAAGTTATCTTTCTATTATGCGTATGTTCAAAAGAACATGTATTTTGGATGTGCTTCATTAATTTCCTAATTGTGGATTAATTTCAGTTCAAATTAAGTATTCAGTTATTTTTTCTTGCAAGAAAGCACAAAGAAACATAAAATGTAGCAGAATTGAACAAAAGCAGTTTATGGCATTTATGCATTTTACACATTTCTGTCTTGTGCGTAATTCACATATACACTTGACTTTTAGGTTTAGCATAACATACATATTATAACTGCAGATTATTTAAGTCGCTGATAATGAGTTTAAATCTTCCCATTCTTCCCAGGACTTACTATATGTTCAGTTGGCTTACTTAATGATCCTACTTCCTCTCTTGCAGATTGAAATGCATTTCATCTTTCACATTCAGTTATAGTCTAAGATGATGATTTGTATTAGTTAATAATAAACTGCTGGCCATTCAAAATGCAACACCTATAAGGAAGCATCTAAATAGAATGAAACTTGCATATAACAGGAGATGGACATCTGAATGACATGACTTAGTGTTTTTGGTCAAATCACAGTGCCAAAATTGTCAGATTAGAGTTTAAAGACACAGCAGAAAGAAGAAGCTCGACTATTATCTTATGCACTGTCATACTGGTCCTGCACCCAGTGTTATGGTGTGGGGTAGTTTTAGATTCCATTCCCACACCTCCTATTGCAAACTGCACTTTTCTCACTGTAACTCTATATCTGCAAATGTATGCTTTTTGAGAGTTTGTATTCCTACAAACTCGTTCTGTCATGTAGTATATTCTCACAGTAGCTTATCATAAAAACTCATGATTGCTTTACCTTGTACTGCTCCGTCTGCGGGGCGTCTTCTTGTCTGGCCTAATTCCTAGGCTTGCGGCATCTTGCTCGCCCCCTTCTGCCTCACCTCATTCTCTTAACTCCTACCACGTCAGACTTCCTACCGTCATGTGCCTATTGGCTCTCCTCGTGAGCTGGAAACAGCGCGCTTCGCGCGCTACTCCAGCCATACTTGTTGGGATCGGATCGGCTATATCTCCGAGGTTTTACAGCCTGTTCTTCTTCCTTACCTTTAGGGCTTGCCTGCAGGCACATTTCAACAGGATAATTTCCGACTACACATTGCATGCAAAGTTTAAGCTTTCTTCTTAGCTTACCATATTGCACTGTTAAGCTGGGCTGCTCATTCTCTAGAGCTATCACCTATCGAACATATCCGGTCAATGCCTGGACAACACCTAGCCTAGTATGCCACCAGTGGGTACATCAGATAAACTTTGGCTATGTGTGAAGGCAACATAGGCTGCCATTACCCAACAACACATCCAAAGCTTTTTTCACTCAATGCTGTGGCATGTAGCAGCAGTTATTGACAAACATGGAGACAACACTCATTACTGATTTTCTAGTCTTTCTCACCTCAAAGCAGGCTATAT